CAGGCCTGACGTAGGAGGTAGCCCCTCGGCAGAGATCACTCCTGATGGGGACGAGCGTGTCGTGTCCAGAGAGAAAGTCAGCGGCTGAGGTGTAGTTACTGCTTCCCCCACGGACACCGCGGAGTGAGCTCCATCCACACGACACCTGGATTCTCAGGGAAGGTGCTTTTCAAAGCTCAGAATTCCCTGAATCGGGGCTGATTCCCGCCCCGGCCAGGAGAGGTGGCCAAGGGGGCTGCCCAGGGGACGAGACGCAAAGCCACGCCGCCCCACCCTCCACCCTGGGGCCGGTGGCCACGCCGCCCCACCCCCCACCCTGGGGCCGATGGCCGCCCACATGACAGGGGATTAACGAGCATCGGTCCATTCACTTCGTTAGTCCCTGTCTCTTCCCCACAGTGTCTACTGCCCACAGGACGACCTCCCACACGGAGCCACCCAAGGACAAGGTGACAAGAATCAGTATCGACGGACCTGGTGGCCAGCGAGTCCCAGATCCCGCCTCCCACTGACCTTGGCGGCAAGGTCAGAGAAGGTCACCCTTGGAGGTTGAAACAAACAAAACTGGAAATAAATTGAGTGACTTCAGGTCATTTGAAAATAATCCCAGGATATAATCCACCCACCGTGGCTGGTATGAAGTTCTGTCCCGTGGGAATATCCACACGCTCATACAAAGTCTGTCAGAAAACTGGAAATAAAAGCCATATTCCAGAGAAAAAGAAATGTCACCTTGGACTTCAACATAAAACAAAGCAAAACAAAAACACAAAACGTACTGAAATCTTTCAGGGGCTGGGCTGGGTTTGGAAAATCAGCCAGCACTAAACCTTGTTAAAGGGACAGGCAACGCTTTATTTGGGGCTTGACAGCAAAATTAGGAATTTAATCACAGACGCAATCTGTATTTTCGATGCGGCATCGAGTTAATAAGCAGATGCATTTGTGTTCAGTTGCAATGTTGGTTAATCCATTTACTGAGGGATGAGAATAACTGCAGTCCTTGAAAGGACCAATGTCTGAATTTGTACATTCAATATTTTATGTAAAAATAACTAGTTCGGCTTCCACAATAATTGCTGCAGATATAAATGAGTTCAATGTGGAGGCTGTGTTTTCAAAAATTACATTTTTAGAACGTGTTTAATGACAGAGATTCCCATTTGTCGTTCATTGGTACATTTAAATATATATATTTGAAAACCAAACGGCCCTGGCCGGTTTGGCTCAGCGGTTAGAGCGTCGGCCCGCGGACCAAAGAGTCGCGGGTTCAATTCTGGTCAAGGGCACGGTCCTTGGTTGCGCTTTGATCCCCAGCGCTGTTTGGGGGTGTGCGGGAAGCAAGCATTCGATGTGTCTCTCTCCCTCCCCCCCGGGTCTGAAAATCAATGGGAAGATATCCTCGAGTGAGGATTAAAAACAAACAAACAGCGATCACAGCTGACTGTCCTGGTCACCCAGAGGGCAGCGCAGTGACCAGAGACCCTCTGGCCTTTCACTGAGCACACGGGGGGCATCGCCGCCGGTGAGAAGTCGGAGGAACAAGGTCTCGCTTCCTCAGGGCCGCCTCCCACGCCGTCCGCGGAGCCAGGAGATGAGCCCGCGTCCACCTTCACGTGGAGGCTGCGGCTCCGGCGGGCAGAGGCCCGAGAAGGTCACAGCCTCAGTGAAACCCAGAGACGGGCGATTCTCTCGAGAATTTCTGAGCCTCCGGGTTTCTGACACGGCCAATTACGAGCTCTGTCACCCACTGAGCAGCAGCAGGGAGCTCTCTGCTGCGTCGGCCTCGGTCTGCAGGGCGGCCTCTGGCTTCAACGGGAGGCTCGACAGGACCCGAACCTTGGCTCTGAGCCTGGGGAGGGCGTTTAAGTTCCATTCACTTCGCAGGACCCCCGATGTCCCCCTGGGCAGCTGTGTGTGTGTGTGTGTGTGTGCGTGCATGATTTGTGTATGTCTACCTACCTAGGTATGTATATGTGTATGGGTGATGTATGTGCATCATCTATGTGTGTATCCGTCAACCTATGCATGTGTGTACGCATGACACATGTATCATCTGTGTGTCTACATCTACCTATGCATGTATGCATGCTTGTATGTATGTGTATGTGTATTAGCTATGTGTGTATCTAACTACTTGTGTATGTGTGTGTGTATATATGTACCATCTATCTGTGTGTCTATGTGTGTGTGTATATATGTATCATAACTGTGTGCATGTACATACCTATGTGTGTATATGTGTCATATATGTGTGAATGTATAATGTATGTATGCATCTATGTATCATCTATCTATGTATCTACCTATTTATGTACATGTGTGTATATGTGTGTATATATGTATCATCTATGTATGTGTGTGTGGTGTACATATTTATCCGTGTATCATCTGTGTATGTATCTATGTACATATGTGTGTATGTATGGTGTGTGTATCTATGTAACATCGATGTATCTACCTACTTATGTATATGTGTGTATGGCACATGCATGTATCTCTCTGTGTATCCACCTCCTACCTACCTATCTGCTTAGACTCAGACTCATAAAAACATATCCTTTCTGTTGCTTCACAGAGAAAAGCCCCCATATCCTTCTGTTAAGTCCTTGGTGTTAACACAGTTATAGTGCTTTTCTGTAGTTTCTAAAGGACAGCAAAACCCTGAGAATAGGAGAGCACATCTCCCCTGGACACGTAAGGAATAATGCAGACGATCCCCTGGTTGACTGTTAAAGTCCAAAGCTTGGGGGAACATCAGGTCATAACTCAAGGTGTCATGTGAGCAGAGACAGTTACGATGACACCCATGTGGCTTCTACACCCACAGACTCCATCAGCGAACCCTACGCAGGGAACTCCGGGCGGGCTGCCGGCACCCGTCGCAGGAACACCTCCGCTTCTCCGGGAAACAGGTTCCCTGTGTGTCTTGGGGTGTTCGTCTCCAGTGACCATAAACCTTCCGTTTAAGTGAAATATTGGTGAGAAGTCGTTACTTTAGAAAACCGTCAGTTATAACTAAAGCGTCGGCTCTCCGCACTGGCCGAGGGTTTGAGAAACACCATGTTCACGTCCAATTCCTTTGACACGAGACGTAAAACTGATAAACCGAAGTCACACGTCTCCCAGGCTCAGGCATGGATTCTGTTACATTGCAACATGCGACATCCCAGGCCACGTAATAAAACATAGGAACTACTTTGCGAACAGAAGAACCTCTGCATGAACATTTCTACATGCCATCAACACATTTTAAAACCTGCTTTCTGGTTTCCATTAAACGCCCGGCACACGGAGAAATGGCTACGGCTGGAGTCTTAACTCACTGCTGTCTGATGAAACCTCACAAACCTAATTAATCTCTTCATTTAGAAACACCCCCCCGTGTGACTAAATCTTGTATCTTGACAACTTTTCAGCTGAACACACTTAGTATCCAATTATTCAGAAGGTAAATACCAGCAACTACAACCTGACTGACCACAGAGACACTGCCCGCCGGCCGGCGCGAGTCCCGCCCTGGGGTCGCTATCGGGTTCACGCATGTCTAACAGGATCCTCTTCCGTCTCAGGAGGAAACCAAAGGAGGCATGTTCAAGGGGTTAGAATGACCTGCAAAGATGCTGGAGAGAAAGATTCCAAATCATGCCTGGTGAAGGGGGTGCACTCACCTCCCCCAGGGGAAGAAGTATTTCCAGGAGTCTGATGAGTCAGTCTCGCCCGCAGAAACGCACTTTCTCGTATGTTCACCCTACAGCACACGGTCGGCACCGCTGGGGAGGGAGAGGCACAGAGAACACTGGCCGCCTCTGCCCCGCGGACCAGACCTGGACTACACTGCGGCCGGGCGCTGGGCACCCCGACCCTGCCCCAGCTCCGCAAGCAAGCGCGTGAGGACTACGCTGCGGCCGGGCGCTGGGCACCCCGACCCTGCCCCAGCTCCGCAAGCAAGCGCGTGAGGACTACGCTGCGGCCGGGCGCTGGGCACCCCGACCCTGCCCCAGCTCCGCAAGCAAGCGCGTGAGGTCGACCCCCGCACGCGCTGTGGACCGGCGGCTGACCACTCCTGACCTCGACCGGGTCCGTGGTTTAGGTGAACAACAGGAGCTCAGGCACCGATATCGCTGCTCCAGACGGACAGACGTTCATGAACACGGGCTGCCGTCGGCTCGCTCTGCGGGTGGCGGAAAAGGTTTGCCTCCCAAACGAGTCCTGTGAACAGTTTGGGGGACAGACCTCTCCACGGAGCCCCGGCCCTTTCTCGTGACCCCTACGCCGTTCACAAATCATTCACTTCTCCACGAAAGCAGCTCCCCTACATGCCCCTAGGAGCGGAAATGCTCATCTTGTGTTATTAATACAATAAGCGCCCTTCCCACCCACGCAAGCTGCCCTCATCCCCCCGTGTTCACACACACTCTCATCTTACGGTGACCAGAGATCAGATGGTTGTTTTCTTTCCTTATTCCTTTCTGTGGGGTCTGAAGTTTTTTAGGGAACAGGGGTTATTCCTATAATCTGAGACATCTGGACTTTCACATGAAAAAAAAATCTAATAACTAATGTTTTTCTCTTCCAGAGCTAGTAAAAAACCCTGTAAGAATAGGTTTTATTTTGTACTTAACAGACCTTCAAACACACGACGGGAAAACGGTGAACAAGGAGACGCGTCCTTCCCTGAAGGATTTTCGTGTCCTCGTAGACACGTGTGGTCTCATCCCCACCACTGACGGGGTCCCAGCAGGTCGGCCGCGTTCACACTTGAACCCGCGCCAACAGTCCGTGAGCGGTCACTACAAACCGTGAGACCCTGCGTTGTTCCTCTCCGGACCAGGAACCTTCCCGGACGGGACGGAGGCTCCGTGCGCCGGGCCCAGCGTCCACGCATCGGGCGAGCACAGGCGCAGCCTCGGCCTCACACGAGATTCTCCCCAACGGTGTGACCCTGCTCACAGCCCCCACGACTGTTCCCAACTTGAGTCTCGGACTCCGCACTGTACCTGTAGTGAGGTGAAGGGTTGCCTTTTGCTTCGCAATTCAGAGTGACCCTCCTGTCCTCCGAGCCGACCGGGACCATGATGCTGCTGCTGGGCTCTCGGACGAACACGGGGCCTCGCAGGAGCCGCTCACCTGCAGGGGACCCAGGAGAGGCAGGTGAGTGGGCGGCCTGGGCAAGGCCGCATCCGGATCGGAGGAAGGGGGCCGGCGCGTCTGCCCTGAGGAGCCGGACCCTCTCGTGAGCCCTGTGGGACCCTTGGCGAGACACTGCCCACCCCCATCTCAGCACGAGGTGGGGGGCACGGCCCCTCCGAACACCAAAGCTGACGTCAAACCAGTTCACACCTTTCTCATCAATTCTGCTCACAGATCGGAAAGTTGATCTTGTTGTTTTGCCAACTTTAAACTAAACATGGGACTTCCATGTTATAAGTAGTAATTGAAGGGTCAGACCCAACACTGAACTCAGGGCCTTTAAAAACTTTCTTCTTGGTTAGGAGGTGACCACTGTCCCAGGACAATTCACACACATATGCACACACATGCACACACATGTACATACACACACACACGCACAGCCTCTCTCCTTGCTGTGGAGCAGAGGAAACGGGACAATGTCGTCCGTCACAGGCGCCCACGCTGTCAGAGGTTGTGTCGTCCCTGCCAGAGCGTCTCTGAAGACACACAGCTCACGGGAACAGAAGACGGAGCTCCGGCTGCCACGTCCTTGGGCACCCAGAGCGGAGAGGCTCCTCTGCAGCGGAGGAGGGACAAACAGACGGAGACACAAAGCACGTCCATGGGAAATGACATCAAGGAAATGACATCAAAGCCCCCAAAAAGGCCCAGACACTTTGAACTTCTATTTTGGCTCCTTCGCGCAGTAACATTAGTAAAATTATTCGCCGTCGGAACACGAGTCCACGAAAAGTGACGGCTGAGACCAGGACACCAGCAGCCACGCCCCGTGGGACCCCGCGCTCCCTCTTCCAACCTTCACAGCCGTAACCACCCCACGCGCAGAGCGAGACTCGGCACCGACGGCGGCCCCAGGACGCGAGCAGGCTCCCCCACATCTCGAAAAGTGCTCACGCACCTGGCCGCAGGGTCCATGCAGTGGCAGCCTCGGCCCCTGGGCACAGCCGGCGGCCTTGCCCAGCCCCACCCAGAGCCCAGAGCGGGAGATGGTCAGAGACAGTCCACTGGAGCCCGTGAACCACTCGCGTTGCCAACGACGCAGGCCGAGGGATGAGCCCCGCCGAGGGATGAGCCCCGTAGGAGCGCTGGACATGGCTCGGTGCCCGTCCTGGGTGTTCTGTCCACATCGGTGCTGACAGCTGACACCTGCTGAGGACAAGGGCCGGCGCAGGGACCCTTCCAGCCGGTGCCTCTGAGTCTCTCCCTTTGGCTGGTTCATGCGCCTCTTTTCCCGACAGTGACCCAGAACCACAACCACCGTGACTCCCGGGGACGCCAGCCCTCCAGGGAGTCACCCAGCGGACTTCCCGGCGGTGCGGAGATGAGGGCGGTGGGCACTTCAGGGCCCCGCACGGCCACGGCTCTGTCTGACCCTGTTCCTGCCGAACAAAAGCGTTAGGACAGCCCCGATGGCGAAGGAGCGAGGCCTCAATTTTCCTTTACGGAAACGGACGACCTCTGGGAGAAACAGATTCGGAAGCAGCAATAGCCTAGAAACTAAAACAAGTCTGTCTCATTCATGAGTTTACCTAGAACGTCAAAAACACGCGTGAAGTCTGTTTGCAAATATCGGCCAAAGTGGTTCTTCCGCAGCGTGTCCAGTGCGATCGCCTCCGGTTTAGTTCAGGTGCATTTCACTCCCTTACGAGAACAGCGGATCACGTCCCCGACAAAGCCTGACACCAAACGCTGCTCTCGATACTTTCTCATGATGGTGCAGACGGGGAGGTAGCCGCCTCCATCTGAGGTCACCACTGGCCCCTCAGTTCCCCAGGTCACGGACACACCAGCGCACCCTCCGCTGCACCCCGCGTGGTTGTCTGTGTCTAGCTTGTTGCTGGACCCCCGAGTCCTGGCACCGGGGGTGCTCAGTGTCTCCCTGCTGAGAGGCAGGTGGACAAGGACATCGCACACTGACTGCAGGTGGCAGGTTAAAATGCTGTCATTTCTTTGTTTCTCTACTTAAATGCGTGTTGTCTTTCTATAAAAGTGAGCTGCCATGGTGGTGAACCCCGACATCCTTCCCCCATCCCCAGCCCAGAATCACACCTTCCTTGCTGATGGGGTCCCAGTGACCGCCCAGGACAAGACGTCACAGGGCTGTGGTTGGAGGCCGTGGGCCGTGGGCCGAGGCCCAGCACACCCCGGACGGCCCGACCCACAGCTCGTATCGAGGAGGAAAAGCCCCCACCCCCACGTTCCGTGGCCCCAGCAATGTCCACTGAACATCCTGACGTGTGGAAATTTCCCCGGCTCACACCTGTCCCACTGAGTGGAAAGGACTTCGTTCGTTAACTCCTCTAAAAACCTGTCTTCACATCCATCTCTCACTGCATTTGTGGTTTCAGTCACGGCGTCCTGGGACCTGGGCAGCTCCTGGTCCCGTGTCTGAGAAGGAGCACGTCCCGCCGGGGACCACCCCTCGTGCACGTAGGCTGTGGCGGAGACGCCAGTAGGAGGCGGTCTGCGCGGATGCCGGCAGTCTTAGCACGTCTGAGCCGTGACCTCGGAGCAAGGAAGACCATCCCTCCTGCCCGCACTTCAGGGAGGGGGAGCCAGCCTCGCGCCTGAAGATATCAGAGAACACGTGCACCCCACCCCTCTCTTCCGCTGCTCTTCCCGAGCAAGGACCCTGCCTGTGTACCCCGACACCCCTGAGGATGTGGGCGGAACGGAGCCCGAGGTCACAGCACAGAGGACCCCCAAACCCTCTCCCGAACTCAGGGTGCACGGGGGCAGAGTCTTAGTGTTGCCTCAACTTAAATAATTCGGTGATTTCTCAGATTATTTTTCATTGGACCCACAATTACCAGTAACTTGCCATCGTGATGTATTATAAATGCGGTGAGCGTGTATCGCTCACACATACAACTGCTTACAAGTTTCCTGTACAACAGTCACCCCTCCTGGGTGTGGATGTCACAGAATTTCTGTCCGAGCCTGTTCTCTCCCCCGTTTCACCCAGTAGCTGTGCCCATTTCAATGTTTCAGAGCTGAATGAGCTGCTACATTGTATCACCCCCTGGGTTCCTGCCCCAGTCTGATCATCCCTCTCTTGCTTCACAACACCCTAAATTGTCGAGGGGTGTTTGTGATGACCGACGGCCAACCTTCACTTTGGAATGAAGCCAACCGTGGCCACGAAGGAAGAGAACCGACCACTTCCTAAATGGAGCGAGCACGTGGTCCTATGATGGAGGGATCGCCAGGGTCCCCCCACATCCACAGAAATGCTGCGTCCGCCGTGGTCTGGGAAGGACAGCACACAGCACCCTGCATGCCTGTCACCTCGGGACATGCAGACACCGTTCATTTAGAAAACCAGCTTCTTAGTTCAGCTTTCTAAGGAAGAACAGACCAACGTCCCGGCCCCGCTGGGCAGCTCCTAGGTCACGTGGCTCTACCTGCACCTCAATCACTGGGCGGAGAGGGGCGGTCGCTGCGGTGTACCGCCCCCCAGCCCCGCCCCTGCCCCCCCCGCATGCCCCCCCTCGCCGCACCGGCCCCACCCCCGCACTGGCACAGACACGCATCCTATTCCAGGAGCTGGTGAGGGGGAGTCGAATTGGGCCGACACACCCTCCCGATCCCTCCCTCCAGGGGAACCAGTCCGGCAGGGGCTGCCGTTCTGCCTGGTCCTTCCTGGGCCTCACCGCTCAGCAGACCTTCCCCATCGGGGTCCCCCAGCAACTTCTGCGCATTTTGTCCACCACACTCTCTCCATCCCCCTGCTGACTCTCATCGCAGACCCTTCTCTTAGGTTATGTCCACTGTTAACGCAACACTTATGCCCGGGAGCTGTGGGGGGAGGCTGCCTTCTGAACTGTTCTTCGATCCGGCTCCCCCCTTCGTAGCCTCGGGCTCCCCCCGGGTCAGGGGCCCTCGGCCCCATCTCACTACACCGCTCACAGGTGCCTCTGCGGGCGCCCCGGCCCTCCACCCTCCCAGCAGCCCAGCGAGACCCGAACAGAAACCAGTCGGATCCCATCACGTCTCTGCTCAAACCACACGGGTCCCCGAGGGCTTTCAGAGCTCGGAGAACCTTCTGTGGCTTCCACGGTCCCCTACGTTCTGGGCATCGGTCTCCCCTCCACACCTTGGCTCTCAGCTCCTGCCTCGGCCCCGCAGCTCATCCGTCCAGCATGGCCACGGCCACATGTCTCCAGGACACAGAGCAGGTCTCGTGCAGGAACCCACGTGGACTGGGCTCTGCTGGGCCCTGGGCCCCAGACAGCACAGGCAGCTCGCTCGCCTCCAGGCCCAAATGGCGTCTCCTCGGCGAGGACCCGCCTGAGGACCGTGTTCCCAGGCAGCCCTCTCCCCACCCCCTCACCCGCTCTGCTCTTCATGTCCCGCAGCCACGACCTTCTCACTCGGGCTCGCTTTCTCCCCAACGGGACAGGGCGCCACCCAAGGGGCAGAGATCTCCGTCCTTCTCCTCCCTGGAAACCAGGTGTGTGTGTAACAGATGCCGAATGTCTCAGAGTAAATGGAGCCGAGCGTTTTGGAGAAGGAGCCCAGGCGGGCTCATCACGGGGAAAATCCCGCAGAAACCACCACTGGCCTCTGCGGCAGGGAGGAGCAGACAGAGCGGGAGAGAACGCGAGACGCACACGGGGCGGGGACAAGGCGCTTGGACCGAGAAGGTGGGGACAGATCACCCAGCGTTTGCTGTGTGATCTGAGTCCACAGCTTTGGCCAAACGCGACTCCATGAAGGAGCGACTGACGCCCTATTTCCCTTTCCGTCTGTGAGGATACCATCTCCACATCGTGAACAGACGTTTAGCTCATACGTGGAAATAACCAACACCTGTGATCAGAACGCCGCGCCGGCGAGCCAGCCCTTTAATTTAAAATTTCCACAGAAGCAAAAGGACGAGGTGCCCTGTGCACCCAGGAGTCCAGAAACCTGGGAGACACATCGCTCCCCAGATCTGATGCCCCGACCACGGGTTCTCCCAGCGCCTGTGCGTGACGTCACATGCCAACAATCCACGCCCCTTCGCAGCCTCACGCCAGTCCACCAGCACACCCAGTGCTGCTTTTCCCATCGATTCATCCACAAGTATGTAAGAGATTTCGCAAAAGTGCTGGAAACGATTCATTCAATTTGCACACCGTGTAAAATGACAGCTGAAAAGGTTGAGCCTTTGAAAAAACGGGCTTTTTCCGTCACTTCACCGCCGCTTCCTGGGTGTGCGTCGCCCCTACCCGCTCACCGGGGCCTTCCCGAGCTTCTGAAAAGTCGAGGTTGTGAGTTATCGCACCTCCGAGGTCCCTCACTTTCCCTCTCCACCTCCTGCAACCGGACGCAGATCTGAGACCTCGAAAGGGAAGCACACAACCCCAGCAGAGCCTTCTCTTTGGAGACGGGCACCGGGCACCGGTCTTTCTCCAAGACCACGTGAACAGGCAGGAACGCAGGGACAATGACTCCCTTCCCCCCGGGGCTGAATGAGTGGCCAGAGAGGACCGTGTTTTAGGAACAACACTAAAGTGTCACAGGGAAAACCCTGTTTAAAAAACTTCTTAAAAGTTGGAGGTTTTCCTTTCATTTAAACATCTGAAGACTGTTTCAGGTTTGAGGTAAGGGCTCAAAAGTCTACTTCCGACAACGGGGTTTCACCAGGCGAGGCGTCGGCCTCACCACACTCGACCACTCTCCTCGGACAGTGGGCAGCGACTGGGCGGCCCCGTCCCGGCAGGAGGCTGTTTACGCAGGAAAGGGGTCTTCGCAGGAGACGGGTGCTGACATTTCAGGGAGGAGAGGAGATGGCTTCTGCAACTGACTTTCCAACAGGTTAGCCCACCAGTCGGCGCCCGAGGGGAGACAGCACACCCACATGTACACAAACAGAACCGACACAGTGACACGCAAACAGCGGGACCACAGGTGCGCGAGGGGGTGCTCATTACACCAGTCTTTCAACTTCTTAGGCGCTGGAGAATTTTTACAAGAAAAAGAAGAAAAACAATAAAATAAACCCAGAACCTAAGTGTTGTGCATATACCACATTATTAAAAAAAAAAAAAATCCTTCTCTTACTCATCCATTCCTCCAGAAAACAAATCAAAACAAACAAACAAAAAAAGAACACACTGAATGATTTATAACAGGTGCTTTGGCATGAAAATGATTCTTTTTTCTATTTTGTACTAAGCTCCAAATTCTCCAAATGAACAAATAAAAAGCCTATGTTTATTTTTGCTCCCTTAAATAATTTATTGGTGAACAGGAAAACAGTGGTGTTTTCAAGATGAGATATGAAAATATGCACATTCTTTAAAATTTATAGTCTCCCTTTACACTAGAGATTATAACTTTGAGCTCCTTTTGGGAAAAACAGCCATGAACTAACGTGCTCGATTCGGATTAACTGCTGGATTCACGGACCAAGGAGACTTGGGGTATAAGGAGTCGCTGCATTTTCTCTGGAAATAAAGTGGTGACCACAATGAGGGGCAGGAAGGAGAATCAGACAGTCAGGAGAAGAATTTGAATTTTCTTCCTGGAAAAAAAAAGTGTTTTCTTTGCTACTGCAGGAGTATTACCACAACACTGAGAAAGTACTGAATACCCGTCTCAAGGAGAGTTCTGACCTCAACTTGGGAAAGAGCTTGTTTTTACCTCTGAGGCAGCTGATGAATGACAGCAGAATCAGCTGTTTCCATGCCAACGGCATCTTTAATTGCCCGAAGCGAGTGTGTCTCGTCCAGTCTCTGATGCACGGGATGCTTTGTCTTCAGGTAAGTCCTTAATCTGTAAAACATGTGCAGAAAGGACTGAGGCTTGGAGGAAACGAGGTGCCATAAAAACAGATATGCTTCTTTTCATAAACTGTACGCCACTCAAAACCCTCCGAAATGCATCATTTGGGGATGCGAAAGAGAGGGTGCATGAAATGTAGCGACTTTAAAAAAAAAGCAAAAAGCTCTATGTGACCAAGAGCAGATGGAAGCAGATTCGCAGAATCAGAAACGCTCAACACTGAAGCGGCCAATATTAATACATTAAATTTTAAATCGTTGGCGAGGTAATTACAGCGGATGAACGATAACCCTGACGTTCCAACTTCTTTCGTCTTCTCTAACGATGACCTGCTGGTAGAACTGACAGCGTCCCTCGCGCAGAAACCGCGGGGCACCTAGTCCTGGTCCTGAGGCCACGCCGGGAGCTCCCTGACCACCGGCAGCACCAAAGCCCGTCGCCAGCCCCTCCTCCCGGAGATAAGCTCCCACCACACGAGCCGCCTGAACAGGTCCAGGGCTCGTGGGGGAAACCACTCAGCCCGAGAGTCTTGCAAGTGCAACTGTTTCCTTTAATGCTCATCCACGTCCAGGTGCCGGTTGAGAGGGGACGAGTATGAACATCCTTGGTCACATTCAGGGGCCAGTGGTCAGGGGCCAAGCAGACCAGTGTACACCTAGAACCAGGGGACCTGTCTGGCTGCAACCAGGGTCCACACCCTGCCAGGAAGCGCACCCCTCAGACGTGGCCGCAGCTGCGGACGGGGCTGGACCAGTGGTCACTGAGCCAGGAAGGAAAATCTCAGCTTAAATGTGGGATCCGACCTGGGATGAGGTCCGCCCATCAGAACTGGTTCCCAACTGTCGTTTCCAAAGCGAGAGCATGACAATGCCCGAGCTGTGTTCTTTAAAATAAAGGGAACGTGAACCCTGGGCGGTTTGCTCAGCGGTGAGAGCATCAGCCCACAGACCAACGAGTCTCGGGTTTGGTTCTGGCCAAGGGCATGTATCTCGGCCGCTCCTCCCCGGCCCTGGTCAGGGTCGTGTGGGTGGCAACCCCTCGATGTGTCTCTCTCACTTCGATGTTTCCCTCCCTCCCTCCCGCTCTATCCGAAGATAAATGCAAAAATGTCCTCAGGTGAGGTTAAAAAAATATTGGAGAAGCAGGGTTCAGACTGACAAACCCCCGAGGAGGAGGGTGGGGGAGGGAACAGAGAAGCCACAGAACTTACATGCACGTGTGTGTGACCAATGGACGCAGACAACGGTGCTGATGGGGGACGAGATGGGGAGGAGGGTGCCTGAGGGAAAAAAGAAGAAATATCTGTAACAAAGATAAATGAATTAAGTGAAAATAAAATTAGAATAAAATCAATCAGCATTTACTGACTCCGAGGAGGGTTGGTTCTGACTGTACAACATCAGGACGTCACAGTGACTGAGGTGCTGAGCCCTGAAGGGACCAGCCTTTCGTCCTGTGGACAGTGGTCAAAAATAGTGTAAAAACCACGAGAGGCGGAAGAGACTGTGGTTGACGATGGTGTCCATGCACGGTGTGCATACTTGTGCGTGCATGTGTGTGGCATGTGTGTGCATGTGCATATGGGTGTGTACATGGGTGGTGTGTGTGCATATGTGTGTGCACATGTGTGTACATGAGTGCATATGGGTGTGTATACGGGTGTGTGCATTTGTGTGCGCATGTGTGGTGGGTGAGTGCATGTGTAGTGTGTGTGCATGTGTGTGCGTGCATGTGTGGTGGGTGCACACACGTGTGCATGTGTGTGCGTGCATACATATGTGTGTGGTGTGTGTGCACACTCGGTTGTGTGACCTCAGCCCCGCTGTCACCTAACCCTCTCTTGCCATTGATTTCATGTCGGTGAAGTGGGGGTGGTGAGTGTGAGAGGTGCCCGTGTGGAGATGCTCCCTGGTGCTCACGCCGGCTCCCTCCCCGTCCACAGAGGTGAGTAGGACCAGCCTCGGCACCACCGGGACAGTCCAGGCGTAAAGAAAGGAAGAAGATGTGTGTCCAGGTCGTTTGGAGACAGAGTCACACCGGTCCGGCAGCCCTGCTGTCACAAGTTGCCTGTATCACAGCACAAGGAGGGACCTGACGCCCTGGGAGATGCCAACCGCAGGGAAGGAGCTTTATCTGCTTGGACGTCACACCTGTTGGATGCTCGTCTGGGTGTACGGACACCGGCTCCACCCACACAGACGCGTGGACCTAATTTAAGGCAAACTGTGAATTTATACCCACAGTGTGGGTGTCAGCTGAGGGGACAGGGCAACCCCCACACCACACACCTCAACACCTCTTTCCACCCAAATAAGCAGTGGTTCAGACGAAGCCCCTGAGCCACATCGGGGCTCGGACGGCCTGCCTGGGGCTGTGCCCAGAGCTCGCGAGCCGACACCCGGACTTTTCCGAAGACGCTGGACGTGCCGTGTTTCATATGCAATGTCCCGGGTCTCAAACGCTAGCAGGTACCCACACGAACCACGACTTCAGAGCGTGTGGACCAGACGAACTGCGTCGGCCACCCACGTGCCATCCGCCTCGGACTGCACGCATTTCCCCGGCTTGAAGAGTCTGAGCCCAGTTAACGGCGCCCCGTGGCCCCTGGACGGACACACGGCGCAGAACATGGTGACCCCGCGATGCTGTGTCCAACCAGGACACACCTTCCATCCCCTCCTCGAGCCGAGCGCTGTGGGGAGCACTGCATTTTCCTCAAAGACCTGGTTCCCACCGTCCTCCGATGACGAGCTCTGTCAAGAACTGAAGCTTCGTGCCCACGTCCAGAGGGTCCCAAAGCCCGTGCCAGGGTTGGGGTTCGCTGGGCTGTGTCCTCAGACTGCCCAGGGCCACGCAGCCCACTCTCTGCCCTGGGTGCCAGACTGACGCCACATTTTCTTTGTTTTCTTTATTGGTTTTAAGAGACAGAAAGGGAGAGGAAGAGAGAGAAACATCGATGAGAGAGAACATGGACTGGCCGCCTCCTGCATGCCCCCCACTGGGGATCGGGCCCACAACCTGGGCATGTGCCCTGACCGGGAATCGAACCAGCGACCTCCTGGTGCAGGGTCGACGCTCAACCACTGAGCCACACCGGCTGGGCGGACACCCCCACTTTCTGAACCGGCCACAGGACATCCGGGGAGCACGTGTAAGTGAAGGCCGGCTGAGACCTCAATGACGACTCTGAGGTACGAGCCCCATCTCGGTTCACACAGCTGGTCAGAGCGGACTCTCCGCAGTCGGGCGCGTTCAGGAGACAGGGGCCCGGCCCTGGTCACGGTGCTGCTTCTGGGCCCAGACTCTGCTGGGACAACAGTCGGCGGTAAGTGTCTTCTGGGAGGGACGCTGCGGTGCTGGTGTGTCCAGATGGCCGGTCCTGCCTCCCGGCTCCCTCCCCGCACCGCCTCTGAGCCCAGTGAGCATCCGAACATGGTTCGCTCGCAGACCTAAATCACGGCCTCCTGTGTCAGGAACACGGAGCGAGTGACAGTCTCCAGGGACACACGGCCCGTCCCCCAAACGCGCGGACATGAAAGAACAGGCAGATGTTACGCGTTGTGAGATGTGCCAGGTGGGGGTGGCCGGGGCGGCCCAGTGCCACCAGAACAAAGGGACAGCTGCTTCTCTGCCCCAGACAACCGTTTCTCACTTGTCTTTTGTTGTTCATGTCAGACTCATTGTTTTTAACACGGGGCTGGCCTAACACGACCAGCCCAGATTGGCCCGTGGTCAGGAGACCGGTCTCCCGAGGTCCAGCGACAGGGAGGAACAAGACGTCAGCCAGGCACGAACACTCTCTGGAGACGGGTTCCGGCAAGGATGAGCCCGCGGCGCTTGCTCCCGCCCGCCCGTGTGCCAGGCCCCGCTGTCTGCTGGGCCCGCGGAGCCGGGGCTGGGCCCGCACACGTGTGTGTTGAATTAACGGACGTCAGACTCAGGGCCACAGCGGGGCGTCGGCACGTGCTGGCGCATCTGGGGAGCGTTGTGAAAACGCTCACCCCTGGTCTCTGTCTGTGTTCAGGCATCGGGCCCAGAACTGCTGTTGCTTTTAAAACTCCCGCAGGGACTCCGTCGAGGGGACGCCGCAGGCCGCACGCCCTGGGGAGGGCTCAGCCCATGTTTCGCCCTGGCTGCAGGGCGCCTTCCCCTCGGGGCTGACTGGTCCCTGGGGACGAGGGTCTCCTGTGATCTCTGTCATGAACGGAGCTTCCAGTGGTCCCCCCGAGTCACTTCCTGCGGCTCAGGTGCAGCTGAACCCCACACCAGAGCTGGGGCCACCGGTGGACCGAAGAGACGCGAGGCCTGGAGCTCCCAGGAAGACCCAGGACGGGCCCGGGAGGGGCAGCGAGCAGGCGGGGGTGATCCCAGGACACAGGGGCCGGGAGGGGGCCGACCCAGCACCCCCTTCCCAAGGCAGCCCGCCCTGCCTTCCGGGTTCCGGGCTCCGGAAGACTCGGGCCGCAGCCGGCACGCGGGGCAGGCGGACGGGCCGACCACTAAACACAACCCGAACCGGTCACGCGAGTGCGGGGAGCGGTGTCCGGCCCATCGGAGCTGGGGGGCGCCCGGCCCGTCTCCAGCAGCGCCCGGCTGCGGACTCGGGGAGACGCTCCCGCGGGACCCGGTGCCGACCACGGAGCAGCTGTCGGGGGACACCGAGGGGCGCGAGGAAACAACGCTCCCCATTTCGGTGACGTGATCGCGGCTGAAAGCACGGGGACCCGGGCCCCGTTGAAACCCTCCCCCGCGGCTGCTCGGCCCCACTGCAGGGCCAGGCGACGGTCCCCACGCAGCAAGTCGGCGCCTCGAGCGTCTCTTCGAGGAGCCACGGGGGAGGGTTCTCCTCGCAGGAACCTCCCGCGCCCTGCGGAGCCGCCCCCGCGGGAACGCGCCGCTCAGGGTCACCTGGGC